ATGGTAATTACATTGCTGTCTAGGGGAGGGTCAGAGAGCTTTCAGAATTCATCAAAAATATCTTAATTTGTGTTCCGAAGATGAACGAATGTCTTACAGGTTTGGAACGACACGAGGGTGAGTAACTAATGACAGAATTTTCATTTTTGGGTGAACTGTCCCTTTAAATGTGATTGACTGCAAATAAATAAATAAATAAATATTGGCTTTATTGTTGAATGTCTGATGATAAATTTTAAGTTAAAATTAATTAAACCCAAAGTATCTAAGCTTTTCTTCAGTTGCAGAATTTCTTTGTATTTTTTGCAATTCAGATTTACATTTTAATTTATTGGAATTTAAATATTATAAATGTAATTGCTGCAAAAAATTCCCTTTAATGCAGCAGTTGGCAAGGACAATTTTACTCGCATTTGTCACTTCCTGTGTGACAATTTTGGAACCCTGGCCATAACTCTTCTGTTAAATGGCTGACAAATAAAAATGTATACCTAAATAAAGGTATAATCTTCTTACATTTTAATTTATTGGAATTTAAATATTATAAATGTAATTGCTGCAAAAAATTCCCTTTAATGCAGCAGTCGGCAAGGACAATTTTACTCGCATTTGTCACTTCCTGTGTGACAATTTTGGAACCCTGGCCATAACTTTTCTGTTAAATGGCTGACAAATAAAAATGTATTTTTGCCCTAAATAAAGGTATAATCTTCTAAAATTTTTATGAAATCCCCTCCCCTTTCTCTGTGTAGGTATATATGTACATACATAAACAAATTACAGATAACTTTTTGTAATCCAATTTAATCACCTTTTTTTGCAATTGATTTAAATCTAGAGTTTGTAATTTCATCAAACAGAATGGAAGACCACACCCTCATCTTCCATTGGTCAGATAAACAAATAGCCACGCCCCAAACTTTTGGATGGAGTGTAGCATGTCATGCTGCAGGGCTGCACATATATTCCCTTCTCCTCAGTCTATTTACTGTGACATGAGACCATTTGAACTGTTCCTCAGCCATGTACATCTTACAGCTGTCCTGAGTAAAGACACAGCAGCTGGAGAATATAAACACAACTCTGGCAAGCCGCACGTTCAGTCTGTCGAGCATAATCTTTTCAGTCTTGTCTTGCTACAGTAGCCAAACACTAAACAGATTTACTTTTTGTTCATCTCTGGGGAAAAATATACAAATGAGAAGCGGCCAGATTCACCCAACCATTTGAGTTATTTAATCAAAGCCACAAAACAAGGACAATTTTACTCGCATTTGTCACTTCCTGTGTGACAATTTTGGAACCCTGGCCATAACTCTTCTGTTAAATGGCTGACAAATAAAAATGTATACCTAAATAAAGGTATAATCTTCTAAAAAAAAAAGTGTACTGAAGCTGGTAAAACTGAAGGAAATGTGAATTGTGAATGAGCCGTATAACATTTTATGCAATGAGTCTAAGCACTGTCTGATTACTACAGCAGTGCCCACTAACACGGTGTGTGTTACACATGAGCCATCCAGAAGTGAACTTCTCTCAGACAGCTGTAAAAGTGTCAAACAACAGGGGCCAGCAGTCGTTCACTTCCAGCAGAAAACACACCTTACTCATTTATATCATGCCTCATTGTCTGACTGCAGAAGGCATTCATGTATAATCTTCGTATGTTCACAAAGTATGTGGTTATAAGGCATTACCTCGAGAGTTAATGCTCTGCCAAAGTCAATAAATCAACCTAAGAAGTCTCAATTTACCCTAAATCTGACTTGAAATATACATACAAAGACTGCATTCTGTCAAATCATAATACCACGGCTCTGAAAAATTTAATATGATTTGTAAGTTAGTGTCTAGTGAAGTTGTGCGTTTGCTTTAGCACACAAAGTAGGCTTGAATAATGGCTTGCAATGAGTCTAAGCACTGTCTGGTTACTACGGCAGTGCCCACTAACACAGTGTGTGTTACACATGAGCCATCCAGTGCTTTAGCACACAAAGTAGGCTTGAATAATGGCTTTAGTGTGGGGACTCTCACTCCACTCAGTGACTGTTTATTGACCAAGGGCAAGACAGATATTCTGCCACACGGCACTTTAAACAAAACTCACTGAAACACATACCCCTCCTCAACTCTATCTTTCACCCCTCTGTCTTCTCTGACTTTTGTGTCTCTCTGCTGGGTGAAACAACTGCAAGGATAGGTATTATTTTTCTCAAGTATTTTATTTCATTTTTGACTTGACTCTGTGCAACTCAAGCAATTAAAATTTGTAATCTAATTAATTAATTACATGATTTGCATATTAATTAATCTAATTAATAACAAATGAATCATACATCAATTTGGGCTGAGAAATTACCACCCAAAAGATCATTTAAAGTCTTTATTGTGTTAAAATAGATAAGCATTGAATAGACATTACAAAAAAAATTGCTTTATGAAAAAATATTTTGAGTCAACTTTAATTTATTACTCATAAACTTACATATGGCTATAATGTGGCCATAACATTGTTTTCAGAAGCTGCACCTGAAGTAGCGAATTTTCAGCATAATTACTCCAGTCTTCAGTGTCACATGATCCTTCAGAAATCATTCTGATATACTGATTTGCTGCCCAAGAAATATTTCTTCTTATTATTAATGTTAAATACAGTTGTGCTGTAGACATTTTTTTTCATGATTCTTTGATAAATACAAAAGTAAAAAAAAACAGCATTTATTTAAAAATAGACATTTTTAACATTATAAATGTATTTACTGTCACTTTTTATCAATTTAATGTGTCCTTTCTGAATAAAAGTATGGTGATTGATGTATGCTATTTGGGGGTTATTTCATGTATGTTATATTTGCAGCAGCAATATTTCTTACATGCTCACAGCAGCATGTTGTGGATGTATTGGCAGTAGCCAGTCTCGGTACTTGCTCTGCCGCAGCAGCAGCAGCAGCGTAGCAGCGTAGCAGATCTATTCCGCCAAGACCAAATACATTAACATTGTCATGTACATTACCATGCCAATCACTCTGAGAGTTGTCATGACAGAACCACATTTCACTCTTAGAAGAACTTGCAGTGGCACTTTGATATACAAATGCACATGGCATATTCATATACCATGGTAATTTGTCCAAAAACATGGAAATACAATTGTACTTTTTTCTTAGTGCAGAAGCTGATGAATTGATTTGTCTTTTTTCTCTTGTAGGCACAGGTGAGAGTGGCAAGAGTACGTTCATTAAACAGATGAGGATCATTCATGGCTCGGGTTATACTGATGAAGATAAGAAGGGCTTCATTAAGCTCGTCCACCAGAACGTGATCAGCGCCATGCAGTCCATGGTCAGAGCTATGGACATGCTCAAGATCGCCTATGCTAACTCAGACAACCAGGTACCACTTGACACCATCCTGCCACGTCTTTTTGGTTTTCAGAAAAGTAAATCAGATAAACAATGTTCCCGATCTCTGTTGCCAGGAACATTCACTATCTGAACTCAAGTCTAATTATCTAATTAAATTTTGCTTCTTAGTACAGTTATTTATCTTGTTTAGATGCCTTTACTGGAATTCAATCATTTAATAATGAATTGGTCAAAAATGTCAAAATGTAGTTTTGTTAAACTTCATATTTGTGCTTTTTTTATGTTCACCTGTTTATTTCCTTGCAGAAGGTTTTGCGTCCTGTTTTTACACTCTGCTCCACTTTCATTAATTGGCTGTGCTCTTGCACGCACACTCTCATTGGTCCCCTGGGGAGATGCTGGTCAGTCCTGATTGGCTGTGCTTGTCTCTTGCAGGCTAATGCTACACTGGTAAATGATATTGAGGTGGATAAGATCATGAGTTTGGAGGAGGCCCAATTCAACGCCATCCGGAGTCTATGGAACGACACTGGGATTCAAGAATGCTACGACCGCCGCCGAGAGTACCAGCTAACTGACTCTGCCAAATAGTCAGTCTTGAAATTTTCAACCAGTTAAATATATAATCACTGCATTCTTGACATGATTTGACGTTTTGACATGTGAATGTGGTTTGGTCATATATGGTACTGGAAACTCTGCAGACCCTCATTGAAAGAAGCACACTTTCGCATACTTTTTAAAAGAGTACTTATTACGGAAATAATATTCTTTAAAAGCATATACTTAAGTGTGAATGTAATGTTTTCATACGCTTAATTATGTCATTTTCAATTAATTGCAAACAGAATTCTAGTTTAAATTCATATTAAATGTAGCTACGAGTGTTTTGACTCACTTAAGTAGTACTTCTTTATATGTAACTTTAATATACTTTTATGTCATTTCTATTCAAACTTGCATGTCATGTATTAAAATATATTGTAATTACACATTTGTTATGATGAAGTTGCAATTTAGTGCATTTTAAAAATATATTAACTTTAAATGTAATATAACAGTTAAAATTAACATTAAGTACTTTTCATGTGCTTTAGTATGTTAGTCAACACATTAAAATAAGTGTACTTCTTTAAAGCATGAGAAGAGATTAATAAAACAACGATTTAAAAATTTACTTTAAAGTCAAATTTTTAATTTGAAATTATTTGAAAAAGTGTACTTAATTGTGTTAGGAAACAGTCATGAAAGTGAACTCTTAGTACACTTAAGTGGCATTTTATTTCAATAGTATTATATTATCTGCAAGCATCTTTTTTTATATACTGTACACTTTTTGGATTTTAAGCACACAAGTGCGCATTCAATGCATTTAAGTGCACTTATTTTTCACAAGGTGAGGTCCAGTATTAGAAGTGTTTTCTCTCTAAATATCCAGCATATCTGTCAACAAAATGTGTGGTATTGTGGTGTAAAACCCTCTGTGTGCCACATTTATGTGCTCATAACTACTGTAAAAACCTGTTTCATCAGCTCTGGCCATGACTTGACCACAGTATTTGTTTTCACCCGTAACAGCTACCTGAGTGATCTGGATCGGATTTCAGACGCAGCGTACGTCCCCACAGAGCAGGACATTCTGAGAGTCAGGGTTCCCACCACAGGTATCATCGAGTATCCCTTCGACCTGGAGAACGTCATCTTCAGGTGAGTCCAGCACATGCATCAGCACAAATTTAGTGTGCTGAAAAAGCTTTTAAAAATGCATGTGCCAAAAAATTTACTCTTTGTATTTGTGTTGGCTTCATATGATTTTGAAAAACCGTAAAATCATTTTCAACAAAATATCATGTGGTAAAGTAAAAAGTAAAATGAACATTTTCTAGAAACACTAAATAAATGTGAATGCAAACATCCTGATAATTTTTCAAGCTTGTAAATATATATTTCAATCAATATACTGTGTATATATATATATATATATATATATATTACATATAAGAATTCATAAATAATGCTATTTCACACCTTGCCTTGTCCTAAAAAGGTCAAATTACCTGATATTTTAACAGACTTATTGATCTGGACACAGTCATTTCTCTGAATGTTTCTGCACATTAGTCACACCACATGAGTTCAATTTGGTGGACAAAAGATTTAGAAATATTCAAATATTTGAACAAAACAGCTTCACTGCTTAGGATATAATAATAAAAGATTAAACTACTATTACCGTAATAATACTAAACTACTTTAACAAGGTTTTCTTATCAAGAATTTAATTTTAATGAGGCTTTTTTTCATTATAATACAGTATTAGGACAGGAATGGCCTCTAAAAAATATCAAAGTTCATTTTAATTCAGAAATTAAAAACTTGACAAAGAAACATGCATGAATGAGAAAATAAATGTTAAACAGAGTCATGCGGAGTATTCCTATAATCACAGTCGGTTATGTGTTAAATTAAAATAAACCGGATGTGTTTCAGTATATTAGATCCATGCAGTTGGTCTAAAAGAGACAGCAGTCTAATAAACCTGTTGTCCGTGTCATTAATGTTAATCAAATAACAAAAGACAAAGAGAAGTCAGCGATTCTTCGATTCATATTTGATCCATACAGTGAAGATTTTGCATTGTTTTAGTTTTACGTTTGACTATTCGATTTCTGTAGTATTTCTTACTACATGTTAAAGGGGTGGTTCACTGGTCGCTTTTAATATACGGTTTTATCCTGATTAAAGCTTTAATACTGTACAGCAACCGCATGTGCGTCCATGATAATGCTTCTCATAGCTATGTGAAAATAAGTGTATAATTGAAACAGTTCATTGTGGAGCTGAAAGAGAGAGCGAGAGAGAGAGATGCAGAGCGTGTGCAGAAGCATGGCCTCGCCCCCTTTGCTGCCTTTTCCCGAGGGCGGGGTTTATCTGGGTGAGTGACGTCATAAACCCGGGAAGTAACTCGTTGTAGTCCCTACCAGCCGTTTTTGTAGGCATTAAACTGACAGAATTTTAAAAGACGATATATCGCCCACCCCTAGTTGTGTGTGTGTGTGTGTGTGTATGTGTGTGTATATATATATGTCTTTTGTTCCTATTAGTGTTCATGTCACTGTAGCTCATTTGCAGCATTACGGAATAATTTAAATTAATCCTGATTGTAACGGCAGTTTATCAAAAGGCAACAAACAAGTTGTTGTAACAAGTGGATTATACTGTAAGAAGATTGAAAGAAATTTTTCAAGGATGGTCATAGTTTAGTTTGGGGACCACTATTAACTAAGACTTTTGCCACAAAAAACTGCTAATTTTCTTTCCAATTGTCATCAGGATGGTGGACGTCGGGGGTCAGCGATCCGAGCGCAGGAAGTGGATCCACTGCTTTGAGAACGTCACCTCCATCATCTTCCTGGTGGCTCTGAGCGAGTACGACCAGGTCCTGGCTGAATGTGACAATGAGGTCGGTGTACTTTGAGCTCATCCTCATCCAGGCTGTTCCTCTGTGACTTCATGCTCATGGCAGTTGATCGGATTTGAAATGGTCTCATGTGTTTCAGAATCGCATGGAGGAGAGTAAAGCTTTGTTTAAAACCATCATCACTTATCCTTGGTTCCAGCAGTCGTCTGTGATTCTCTTTCTTAATAAGACAGACATCCTGAAGGAGAAGATCGTGCACTCTCACCTGGCCACCTACTTCCCAGAATTCACAGGTGAGTCATTCATAGCAGTTCCCTCGAGGCACAAGATGCTTCTTCAGGCAAATGCTCGTATGGCAGGAATTAATCACTTTTAAATCAGTCATCCTGGTAAAGATAAAGCGCAGTATTATTTTAATGTGTTTTTATATAAATTAATAGACAAAAAATAGAGCGTCACATCATTGACCCACTGATTACTGTCATTTTTCAGGCCCCAAAAACGACCCAAAGGCAGCCCAGGAGTTTATTCTGAAGATGTACCAGGAGCAAAACGAAGACAAAGACAAATCCATCTACTCTCACTTCACTTGTGCCACCGACACGGAGAACATCCGCTTGATCTTCGCAGCTGTGAAAGACACCATCCTCAGACACAACCTCAAAGAGTTCAACCTGGTTTAAAATCAACAACTAGTCCTCATCCCGGAGGACAAACCGGTCCTGCTCTCTTCTGTTGATCTGTTGAGTAGATATAGCTCTCACATTAGCTTTACGTTGTTCTCTTGTTGGCTAAGGACTTATATAAGGAAGTATCTAGGAGAATTGCCTAATGGATTAGATGTGGACTGGGTTCCTGAAAACGAGCCTTGATCTACCATTATAAGGATGAACCTTCTTTTCAGTCGTGTTTAGGTCCTCTAATAGATGGGTAGGTTTCATCGACAACAGATGTTGCCATTTTGTTCTTTATCTGAGTAGAGTTTACAAAGGATGCTACTTAGGAGATTTTAAGGCACATGTAAAAATGTTTTCCTGATGTAATAGATCAAAGTCTTGAAGACTCCTTGAAGCATTTAAAGGCAAAAAGATGGAGAAGTTTACATGTTAATATAAAAACTTACTCTGGATGTTAAAAAAAAAAAAACTAACATGCTCTGAAATTGCCTTCTGTAGAGTCAAGATTATACATTTGTAGAAATTAGTTACGAATTTAATTCAGATATTTTTTATTTTATTATGTAAAAAATCATTTACTAGCTATTTTAAACTGGTGTTTTAGTGTCAAATTGTACATTGTAAATGATATGTATCAATTTAAACATGCATATTCCTTAAAAAATCTTTATTTCTCACGGACAATTCAGTCACAGGGCAAATTCAGAAAGTTTTCACATTTTACGCAGCCACTGAATTCAGTTTCATTATTTTACCTCAGTTCGTAGCAAGTTCAAGCTGTAGTGAATACCTGAAGAGCCTTTAAACTGTAATGTCTGTATCTGCTTTGATAATATTTGTTAAACACGGATATACAGTAATATGTTGTTACTCATTAAAATTCAAATAAAACAAAATTCTAAATACATTTATTAGATATGCATAATTAGAAATTACAAGAAAATTATGCAAAAAAAGTTAATGCTTTTCTTTGCCTTTATAGTGAACAAATCACTTTTAAATCAGTCATCCTGGTAAAGATAAAGCGCAGTATTATTTTAATGTGTTTTTATATAAATTAATAGACAAAAAATAGAGCGTCACATCATTGACCCACTGATTACTGTCATTTTTCAGGCCCCAAAAACGACCCAAAGGCAGCCCAGGAGTTTATTCTGAAGATGTACCAGGAGCAAAACGAAGACAAAGACAAATCCATCTACTCTCACTTCACTTGTGCCACCGACACGGAGAACATCCGCTTGATCTTCGCAGCTGTGAAAGACACCATCCTCAGACACAACCTCAAAGAGTTCAACCTGGTTTAAAATCAACAACTAGTCCTCATCCCGGAGGACAAACCGGTCCTGCTCTCTTCTGTTGATCTGTTGAGTAGATATAGCTCTCACATTAGCTTTACGTTGTTCTCTTGTTGGCTAAGGACTTATATAAGGAAGTATCTAGGAGAATTGCCTAATGGATTAGATGTGGACTGGGTTCCTGAAAACGAGCCTTGATCTACCATTATAAGGATGAACCTTCTTTTCAGTCGTGTTTAGGTCCTCTAATAGATGGGTAGGTTTCATCGACAACAGATGTTGCCATTTTGTTCTTTATGTGAGTAGAGTTTACAAAGGATGCTACTTAGGAGATTTTAAGGCACATGTAAAAATGTTTTCCTGATGTAATAGATCAAAGTCTTGAAGACTCCTTGAAGCATTTAAAGGCAAAAAGATGGAGAAGTTTACATGTTAATATAAAAACTTACTCTGGATGTTAAAAAAAAAAAAACTAACATGCTCTGAAATTGCCTTCTGTAGAGTCAAGATTATACATTTGTAGAAATTAGTTACGAATTTAATTCAGATATTTTTTATTTTATTATGTAAAAAATCATTTACTAGCTATTTTAAACTGGTGTTTTAGTGTCAAATTGTACATTGTAAATGATATGTATCAATTTAAACATGCATATTCCTTAAAAAATCTTTATTTCTCACGGACAATTCAGTCACAGGGCAAATTCAGAAAGTTTTCACATTTTACGCAGCCACTGAATTCAGTTTCATTATTTTACCTCAGTTCGTAGCAAGTTCAAGCTGTAGTGAATACCTGAAGTGCCTTTAAACTGTAATGTCTGTATCTGCTTTGATAATATTTGTTAAACACGGATATACAGTAATATGTTGTTACTCATTAAAATTCAAATAAAACAAAATTCTAAATACATTTATTAGATATGCATAATTAGAAATTACAAGAAAATTATGCAAAAAAAGTTAATGCTTTTCTTTGCCTTTATAGTGAACAAGAAATGACATTCACAGTTCTCAATATTACCTCACTAACACGAGTCATTTCCAATTGAAAATAAATATATGATAAAATTGTAGAATTAGAGTATGCCGTTGCATGTGAAAAAATGCACGTTTTGTCCTTTCAATCATATTTATTCGAAACCTGGGAACTTGATGTAAGATCTCTCGCTATTTGCTTTTATTGCTATAACCTTTATTAATGTTAAAGGAGTAGTTAACACAAAAATGAAATTGTTGCTGTAAATGTACTCACCCTCAGGGCATCCAAGATGTAGATGAGTTTGTCTCTTCATGCAAACAGACTTGGAGAAATTTAGCATTTCATCACTTGCTCACCAATGGATGCTCTGCAGTGAATGGGTGCCGTCAGAAAAAGAGACAAAACAGCTGATAAAAACATCACAATAATCCACAAGTAATCCACACCACTCCAGTCCACCAATTAATGTCTTGTGAAGCGAAAAGATGTGTGTCTGTAAGAAACAAATCCATCGTTTAGGCGTTTTTAACTTCAAACCAGTCCATAATCCATAATATTGTTTTCTCCAGTGAACAATTCATCTCGTCTGAATCAGGAAAGAAATATGCACAGATCAAGCACCATTTACAAGCCAAAACAGTTCTGAACAAATAGGTCGATTTTTGATGATTCATTCTGACGGCACCCATTCACTGCAGAGGATCCATTGGTAAGTAACTGATGTAATGCTAAATTTCATCAAATCTGTTTCGATGAAGAAATAAACTCATCTACATCTTGGATGACCTGAAAGTGAGCAAACATCCATTTTTTTTGGTTAACTATTCCTTTAAATTACTGCATTAACTACTGGCAAGATTTTCAAAAGGCTGCAGACTAAAACAAGGACTAAAGAGCTACTTTATTGGTGTACATCATTTACAGGTTGCCCAAGAGGCCTCGTTGACATCAGGATCAATAAATAGGGTCAGTTTTGATTTCATGTCGACTTTAATGTCAATTCATTGACATTCATTAAAAAAAATGGACAATAGCTTTACTGAAAAGCTAAATAATAAACAATTGCATATTTGTGTTATATTACAGTTTTTCAGTAACGCAGTGCAGCATAGGGACATAAAGCAGTCAAGAAGCCATCGAGTGTTTACTGTCGTGTCGAGTATTAAGATGAGCTATAGAATTATTTAAACAGACACTGAGAAACAAAATATCATTTCATGCAAAGCCACATATTAAAAAAATATCCCTGCTCTCCTGTACATAGAGAAAGAGATTCCCATTTTCAAACATTCCTGGTCATTTCTGTTTAAATGTGACACGCATTCCCACATGTAAAGACAAATCAAATACATACAGTGTATTGGTCTTTATTAATGTGTATAAAATGACACCTTAATTTACACTTTAGTGTGGATTTACTTAACTGCATGTAGAGGCACGTTGTAAAGACTTAATATGTAAATGAGGTTAGTGTTCAAGCAAATAAGGAATTTTGACAGATTGAGCTCAAGAGAGTGAGGGGGAAAGAAAGGTACAATATAATGTAAACCGAACACACCAACACACAGTCTAACGGATATTACCAGTGTGGTATTCAGTGTTTAGTGAATGACTGTTGCGTTGTGGGTATAATGTGAAGTGGCACACTGCAAAAGCAGCATAAAAGCACACAGAAGAGTGCAGGATCATTCCACGTCGCTTTAATTGTCCTTACTTCCGCAGACTTTCCCTGGCATCTTCCAGCTTGGCAAGAACCCACTGAGAATGACAGAAATGCATGATTTAAATTAATGCACGGGTGCTAACCTTTACAGGCTATTTTATCTACAATTAGCTGCAAAAAATCATAAATGTGGTAGACAAAACTTTTTGTGAAAAATGTAACTCTTAAAGGGACAGACCACCCAAAAATTACAATGTTTTACACAACCTCAAGCCATCCTAGGGGTGTATATGACTTTCTTCTTTCAGACGAATACAATCAGAGTTATATTAAAAAATGTCCTGGCTCTTTCAAGCTTTATAATGGCAGTGAATGGGTGTTGAGATTTTAAAGCCCAAACAGTGCATCCATCCATCATAAAAAGTGCTCCACACGGCTCCGAGGGGTTAATAAAGGCCTCCTGAACTGAATCAATGTGTTTGTGTAAGAAAAATATTCATATTTAAAACTTTATATAGCATAATCTCTAGCTTCCGCTAACTGATATACGCACGCTCACAAGAGAGTGGTGTCCAGCGGATGACGTAGGATGCAGGCGTAGCGTAAGCTCCGTTGAGAATATTCTAGTCTCACGAGAACCACGTTTTGTTTACAGCAAAGGAAAACCAGTCTCCTCTTGGCTTGAATCGGAAATCCTCCGGCATTTTTATTTTCAAATCCTCGTTTTGTACTTCTAATTCATGACCGATGTTTTTTTACGTTCATCACTTCTCACCAGAGCTTACGCTACGTCGACGTCCTCCATCATCCGCTGGAACGCCACTCTCTCGTGAACGCGAGAACGACAGTTAGCGGAAGCTAGAGATTATGGTTTATAAAGTTTTAAATATGGATATTTTTCTTAAAAACATCTTTGTGCTTCAGAAGGCCTTTATTAACCCCCCGGAGCCATCTGGAGCACTTTATATGATGGATGGATGAACTTTATTGGATTTCAAAATCTCGACACCCATTCACTGCTATTATAAAGCTTGAAAGAACCAGGACATTTTTTAATATAACTCCA